TTTTCCATAAATATTTGAGGAAATGACAAACTGAAAAGAAAAATGTTTCACTTGCAAAACAAGTTTCTATTGAGATTAAAATGTATTTCTCAAGTTCGTCATAAAAGTAAATAAACTTTTAATCATCAATAAGTAAAGGTAAGAAATTTTTTAAGACATTTTAAAATTTGGATGGTGGTGGAAATGGGTAAGAATTTAAGAAAAAAGATTACTCTTAAATTTAGAAATATTTGTGGAAAAAAAAAAATACATTATAAGTAAAAAGGAGTGTGTGTGTGTGTGTGTGTGTATATATATATATATATATATATATATATATATATATATATATATATATATATATATATATATATATAAATATTCTGTATCTGATGATGGAAAAAAAAACCCTGTATTCTTTATATTAGAAAATAATTTTATAACACCATAAATCTAAAAGTATAATTTACCTTTGACATTATCTTACTCCTACTATAATACAAATAGTAATAGAAAAATAATCATGAATATGTTGTTTATTTTTAAGTCAAATATTTTTATGACAGAAGATAGTATTTTACTTTAATCATCCATTTTTTTTATATATAATATACCTTCTATCATTGCAAATTCTAAAAATAAGTAAAGATGAAAGTAACTACTAGATAAAAATTAATAATGACTAACAATGATTCAGCTAATAAAAAAATGAAGATGAAAGTAAATACTAGTCAAAAATTAATAATAATCGCTGACAATGCTTCATTTAATAAAAATATGAAGATGTAAGTAAATACTCAAAAATTAATAATAATGGCTGGCAATGCTTCATTTAATAAAAATATGAAGATGAAAGTAAATACTAGTCAAAAATTAATAATAATGGCTGGCAATGCTTCATTTAATAAAAATATGAATATGAAAGTAAATACTAGTCAAAAATGAATAATAATAGCTGACAATATTTACTCTAATAAAAAATGAAAATGAAAGCATATACTAGTTATAATGGTTGACCATGTAGTTAGTAGATTTAGTAACAGAAGATTTTTTTCTTGCAATATCTTATTTATAAAAGAATACTTCTACTGTAGCTTAATTAGTCCTTAATGATGAATTTATTCTTGTATAAGTTTCATAAGTAACTATTAAAATTATTACAGGCAGGTTTCAAGTTTATGACCAGAACAGCTAAAGATATATTTTTCTTTCTGATTACTTGAATTTTTAAAAATCACACATTTTTGTATTTATTTAAACTTAAAATGTGGGAAATCTTTCTCTCTCAATCACAGTTTAGCCATGGTTCTTTGTAAGAGTTATTTTGCCATCTATATTTTCAATTTTTATTGAACCTTATCCTTGTAGGAGGACATTCTTTTGTCCGGCACCTGTTTCAAGAATTTACCCCCTTCAGCATTGTACCTTTGAAGTTTGTTATTTGATGTACCAAATAACAAGACAGTGATAAGAGTCTCATATTCCATGAATGAATTCCCTTTTTTGTTATTTAGTCCTGGGTATGACAGTAAACTACATCCAGCAGCAAGACTACTGATCAGATGATTGGAGGTTTTGAGAAGTGTGGAACCACCTCTTAAATGCTGTTGTTCACAGGTTCACTTTAATCTGGAGTGGTAGCAATTGTTAGGGTCCCAGCTATAGGCAAATAGTGAACCCCAAAGAAACAAAAGAAAACACTATGAAAGTATAAAAATACATTTTTATATTAAAAAAACAAATGACTAGCAATACATTTTATCTGTAGTTGAAGAAATACAATTGCATTCAAAATATCTGTAAGTGAAGCCATTAAATTAGGTTCAAAATATTTAGATTTGGGCATTAAGTAACCCCTAGAGGTTGATATGTTGCAAAACAAAAACAACCAACCATTTTTTGCTATTGAAGCAATGGTTGTAGATTTTCACTTAAAAATTTATTAATTCATTCCAAACAACAAAAGATCATTATATGCAGTGCATATTGTCCTTCTTCATGCCATGTCCCTTCAGGATGTAAGCAATCATGGCTCTCTACTATTTCCTCTCCTTTGTAGCTCTTAATAAATTTTATTTTTTTTATTTCTCCTAAACCTTGCTCCACCATCCACCAAGCTCCCGAGTTAAGTTATGCATCATTTTCCTCTGTCCCTTTTGCCTTCAATCTGTCCTTTGAGTATCAAATTTTCCTCCAAGCCCACTTTCCTCATTATGTGCCCTAGAAATTTTAACTGTCTCTTCCTGGTGTTAAGTATGTTTCCTTTTTCATAAATTTAATAAAAACACAACCAGATGTTTCTTTACTTAAATTATAATTTTTTTGAGGCTTTATATGATTTTCTAACCCCCACCCCTTTTATAATAACCTTCTCTGTTTATTGCAGATTGAGAAAAATTCTGATGAAAGATTTCCCAAGCCCTGTTTCCTCATTATGTGCCCTAGAAATTTCAACTATTTCTTCCTAATGTTAAGTATAAGTGTCCTTTTTGTTTCTATTTTCTCTAAAACTTTGCTGTTGCTCACATGTTCAGTTCATGGTATTCTCAGCATCCTTATATAGAAATACATTTCTGTTGTTTCAAGTCTCCTCTTCATCTGTGAGCAGATTGTCCAGAAATCACTGCCATATAGGAGGACTAATATTACATAATAGTTCAGTACTGTTTTCTTTGTTTCTAAACAAAATTTTTCTGTTTCTTAATACTTAGCTTTTGGAAGAAAATATCTGAAGTTATATTGTTTTATACTATAGATGGTGTTGACAAATTTTTGATTATGGTTGGATAAGTTATTTTCAATGGTGACTGTTATAGATTTGATGGTTATAATAATGTGTCTAATTTTGTCAGAGTTGTTGTGATTATTATTAACTGGATTTTTCTGTCTATTTTCTGTGGACTTTGTAGGCTTTGCATTTAGCATTATACAAGAAATAATTTGGGTAGTGGAGGAATTTGAAAGTTTTTTTCAATATATTTTTCTTCCTCAAGTAAAAATTAGGAGCTACAAACAAATTGTAAGAGCTCTTTGAATAGAAACCTATAAGTACTCGGGGTTTTATTTTAATTTTGTGATAGGAGTTACTGAAAATCCACAAATAAAAATGACCTTATACACTTCTACTCTAGTCACAGCAATAAAATAATATCTGAAGTAATCATATATTTCTATTTAAGAGCCCTTAAAATCTATAACACTTCAATTCCTTCCAGGGAAAGAAAAATATATTGAAAAGACTATCAAACTCCTCCAATACCCAAATTATTTCCACTATAATGCTAAACACAAAGCTTACAAAATCTACAGGAAAAAAATCAAGTTAATAATAATTGCAACAAGCCTGACAAAATTAGGCACATAATTTTACCTATCAACTCTATAACAGCCACCATAAAAAATAACTTCTAATATAGAATATATTATATAATAGATGCTATAACTTCTGCTGATCAGTAGTCATGAACTATTGAGTTTTCTTCAGTGTATATGATGTGATGCTATGGACACCCACGTATAAAAAGATGTGATTTTATCTTGATCTCAAGTGTTTTTGTTTTATAGCTAACAGGTTGTCCTTTTTAAGTTTAATTTTCTAAATGGCACCCACTTCAACCGAGGTGGAATGAGTAAGTAAAGGTGTTAATGAGGGCTTTTTTGGAGATAAAGTGACAACAAAACTGAAAATGGGATGTATCCAGGTGCTGGTCTATATTAACAGTCATGCTTAGGATCAGAGTTGGTTCTGGTTTGCCCTTGACGGGAGATGGACTTGTCCATTGTGTGATTCCAATGCTACCTGTTCATCTTGCCAGCCACATGTCAGGATCTGTAAATGGGCGAGGAGTTAGGAGGAGGAAGAGCTGAAATATGAGATTCACATAAAACATCTACATATAACATGGGAAACAGGGTTTGCATTCTTATTTCTGAATGTGACATTTGTCTTTCATCATGTTACCTTGTGAGCATGCAGTGGGTCCTTACCCAGTTTGTAAGATTGAGAATTGAAATGCTATGTAGGGAAATCATTTGCTGGTCAGGGGTAATCATTTGTTTGGTGAGAGTTGCATTATATGTTTGCAATGCCATGAATATGACTTTGTGTTAAAGTTGATGTCCTCTAACAATATTTTTTTCTTTTTCTCGACAGGCTGTTAGCATGCCCACAGTGCTAGAGTGTTACCTGCCTCATCAACGTGAACATGGGGGCAAGAGAACAGACAAGTGGCAGGAGACAAAAGAAATTGCGGAGATCAAATGAGGCAAAAGAACCTGCTACATCTCCCCCCAAGAAGAAGACCGAGTGCCGTGTGGTTAGCCCCAAGAAGAAGCAGGAGCAGAAACCAAATGGAGAGCTCAGGGGGAAAAAAGAGGAAGAAAATACTAACACGAGTGGCACCGGCAGACTGAAGAGAACTCCAGTATCTTCTCGAAAGAGGAAAATTTCACCCTGTGATGAGGAGGAAAGTAAACCCAAATCCTCAAAACGGACAAAATCCTCAGAAAATGCAGAAAAAATAAAAGATTCAAAACCAGGCAAATTGACCAGGGTTGCCAAAGGCTGTGCAAAAGAATCTCCCACCAAAATAAAGCATAATAGTAATAATAATAATTGTAAGGACATTAAGGGTATAAATAAGATTGATAAAAACAGTAAGGAACCAAAGGTTGTCCTGTGTAACAATGTGTCAATATCATTGGAGCAATCTCTGGTGAAAGATGTTGGTGGAAAAAAAGAGTTAAAGTCTCCCAAAGGAATCAAACCAGTTAGAGGTATTGGCAGTGGCAGGAAAGATACAAAATCAATTCCAGTCACTCGAAGAGCCAACAGTACCATTGCCGCCAAAAATGTTAAGGAGACCAGAAGTCCAAGACGTAATTCCATTAAAGAAAAGAAAGATAGCAAAGAAGCAAAGAATTTGAAAGAAAATAAAAATTCAAAAGAAAACAAGGAACCCAATTCCAGCCAGGACACCAGTGATTCTGAAAGCAGAGTGGTGCCTCAGATAAATGGTAACATGACAAATTCCACAGATGCTAAGAGTAACCAGAAGGCTAAGCCTATCAATGCAAGAAAAACTCGGCTACCAAAAGAACCACCTAGAAAAAAGGCAAAAGAGGTTTTAGAAAAAAATAATAGTGATCATAAGGTTGACAATGGACCTAAAACAGCCGCAGAAGATAAGGTGTCTGTTACTGTCAAAGAAGAAGAGAATAAAAACAATAAAATAGGGACTGTTCCCAAAAAGAATTCTGAGAGTCCAAAGAAGGGTTCAAAGGCTGTATTAGAAAAAAATAGTGATGAGAAAAAAGTGGGTAGCAGTCCCAAGACTTCTGCAGAGGGAAAAGCTACAGTGGCAACAAATAAAGGGCAAGCAGGTAGTTGCAAAGCTGGCAGTCCTTTGAAAAGAGAACCTAAATGTGATAAAGAAACAAAAGAGAGCAAGACCAAAGAGTCACTCCCGAATAATAATAATAATAATAATAATAATAATGGTGGGGAGATGCCAAAGTCTAAAGGTAGAAAGGTCAGTCAGTCACCCAAAGCTGCTGAGAACCAAGACAAAGCAGTTAAGGAGGCCAAAAAGAAAGAGAGCATCCCAGTTGGTAAATCAGCCACAGAAGTTGAAAAACCAACTGACATGATTAAAGTGATTGAGAGTATCAAGGCTGGGGTGATAGAGTCAATTGCTAAGGAGGAAGAGGAGAAGAAAAATGAAGCCAAAGACAGTAGCCAGGCAAAGACAAGTGTGCAGTGTGAGAGTTGCAAGCGCAACTTTTGCAACAAGCAATCACTTAGCCGACATATGAAAAAATGCCCGGCCATTGTCAGTGGTGATCCAGAAGAGGCAGGATCCAAAAAAGGTTCCACCGATTCTGTCCAGGCCAAAAATATCAAAGACAATAAGCTTGCATCTGTGAAAGTGGAGAACAAATCCTGTGCTTCCGACCAATTGAAATCACCTTCTGTGGAAAATTTAGGTAAGGTTGTTGAACTTGTTCGAGCTGCTGGAACTGGGGCTGCCGCTTCGGCTGTTGCAGCTGCTGCTATGCCCACACATCCAACCACACCAACTCCGAGCCTCCCAGAATTGGCATGCACTGCTGAAATGGTCACGGAAAAAGAGACCAATAAAGAAAAAAATGAACAAGGTTTGGATAGCTCTGAAGATATTTCGGCCAAGAGCAGCTTAAAGCATCCATCTTGTTTGTCAGAAGACAATGATATAGTCAAAGACAATGCTGATATCAGCCTTTCTGTAGATTCCCAGAAAGAACCTGTCGTGGACTGTGAAGATTCCAACCAGATCCACCAGACAAACAACAAAGAAGAAAATAAGGATACACAAGCAGAAAAGGAGGGGACTGACGATATCATAGATGTTAATGCTGCAGCAGCTGCTGTAGTTGCTGCTCTTGTTGCCAAAATTGGAACCGAGATCAGTCTGGATTCAGCATCCAAGCCCAAATCCCACCTTTGCAAGCAGTGTGATTTTCAGGCTGTGAAACACTCTCTGCTAGCGCGCCATGTTGAGACCCATGGCATTTTCATGTGCCTGAAGTGCAGCTTTATTGGTGAAAACAAAGAGAATTGTAGTGTTCATATGCGTGAATCTCACAAGAATAGGCGCAGCGAGAAGTTGTGTCGGCAGTGCCGCAAGTACATCGACACGGACATCATCTCGATGGAAAAGCACAAGAAAGAATGCAGGGTGCGTAGCCTCAGCTGCAAGGAGTGTAACAAGATGTTCCGGTACGAGTCATCGCTCAAGGTGCACATGGCGACGCACTTTCCGGACCTGCCGAAACGGTTCCACTGCCCAGAATGTGGATATCAATCCAATTACAAAGCTAATCTGCAGAAACACATGAAGAGTATCCATGAGTATCGTGAGAAGAATGTTAAGTGTTGCATCTGTGAGAAGATGTTCTTCTCGGAGGACAGCATGAAACGGCATTTAAAGGTCCATTCCGATGACAGGCCATACAAGTGTGACCTGTGCGGAAAGGCATTTAAGACCTCGCCTGCCCTGAAGAGCCACCGGGACGTGCACGAGCCGTCGCGACCTTTTCTCTGTGAGGTAGAAGGCTGCACAAAAGATTTCCGGACTGCACGTCTTCTCAAAAATCACCGTGAGGAGTACCATCAGCTTTCTCCCAAGAAGTATCACTGCTCTCAGGAAGGATGCACTTTTTCATTCTTCAAGCGAAGTCATCTGCGGCGCCATGAGATTACACACACAGGTAAATTATCTACCAATCTTCTTTTTATCTGCATGGCTGTGCAGGTGGTGTAATGGATAGCAACTTGGAATGAGATATCAGATAGCTAAGTTCAAATTCCAGTTGAGTTTGTTACAGTTACTTATACATCAATGCTCTTGGGAAAGGTATGACTCCATCTCTTCCTCCAAGCTATGGGTTAAATACTAACACTCATATCTGGAAAAATCAGTTATCGTAAAACAAAATTTGTTCATGTAATCTTCATTTAGAATTTTATTTAAGGGTTGATAAGCTGTGAAAAAAAAACAAATCAATTAATCTTTTTATCCACATATTTAAAAGTAATTTATTTTAGCTTTCCATTTACTTTATTCCTTAAGAAAAATTTTAAGGCATAAAAGAAAAAAAAAAAAAAATTCTTATAAATATGCTTTTTACTTGTATAATACACCAGGTATAGTTTTTTTTTATACTATGTCTGTAATGTTTTGCTGTATTAGACTTGTCTCCCTTGAATTGGCAACACCATATAATAATTCATTTCTCAGGACAATAATGGATTGTTTCAAGATGTTTATGAAGCTAGCAGGTTAAAGGACTGTCAAAGAGCAGAATGCAATAATAATTGAAAAAATATATTTGAAGACTCACAAAACAATAAATTTTATAAATGCCATCATTTTTGACAGCATATGTAACCAAGCATTAATATGACTCTACTGGTCATAAAGTAGAGGATTGATTTTTTTTTATTGTATGAAGTAATAAACTGATCCCCCAAAGTTAGTATATGTGTTAATAATTGAAAAAATATATTTAAAGACTTGTGTATGAAAGCCTAATAATAATCAGGACTTAACAAATAATCAACTTTATAAATGCCACCATTTTTGATAACATATTTAATTTAGCATTAATATAAGATTCTACTGGACATAAAGTAGGGATAGGTTTTCTATTGTCATTACAAAATAAACTGATCCCTCACTAAATTGCTACATATTAATAATTGTAAAAAATATATTTAGACACATTTGCATGGTAGTACCTGTTAGTGTCCCAGTAAATAGTGAACTAAAATCAAATCACTAAAAGTATAAAAATGCATTTTTATAGCAAAATTACCAACAATACATTTTTGTAGTGAAATGACAATACATTTTATAGTAATATTGAAGACATGTCATACATTGTCAAAAAACAAAAAAAAAACAATTTTCTATGATTAATCTCATTTTTTGTAAGGAGAAAGAAGTTTTCATTCATTGTTTGATTTTGTGAGATTATTTGATAAACAAAAAAAGTATGCAGCTAATTACTTATAATTTAATCATGAAATTATGCCATTCTCCTGAATTATAAAGTTTGAATTTTCATATTTAGATTTCAGCAGTAAATAGCCCATAGAGGTGTTGATATGCCGCTAAACAAAAACAACCAAACCATTTAGCCTTGCATATGAAAGCTTTCTAGTAACAGAGCTTAAAAAAGTATCAGTTCTATACATGCTGTCATTTTTGACAGCATAGGTAAACTGATATTTTTTTTTATTTAATCATTTCATCCCAAGCAAAGCAATAAAAGCCACTAGGATGCAAGGGGTTAGTGTAAGTGAAAAAACAGAGAGGACAATAAGATAACAAAATTCAAGGAGACACAAGATGACGATTGACATTGTTGACAGTAAAACAGGAAGTTGGAAGAGAGTTCCACAAGTGAGAAATGGGAGAGAAGAAACTACTAGCATAGAAGCTACACTTACATCTAACTATTTCAATAGTGACATTATGAGACTTAGCAGCCAATCTAGTACTGCATTTAAATTTGTGAAATCAAGGTATCAACAAGGTAAGATCATCAGAACAATTACCATGAAAATATTTATAGAAAAAGCAAAAGTGAGCTATGTTACAGCAATGGGAAAGTAATTGAAGCTGAAATACCAGGTCATGACCAGTAACATTGCAGATTCTTCTTTGGATTTTATCGAGAATCTCTAGATATAAAACAGAAGTGCCAGACCAGATGTGGCAAGAATATTCGATGCACAGAGGAATGGTAGATTTATAAATATGCATGACATAGTAAGCTGACTTTCCTAGCAGCAGATTTAGCAATTGATTCAATATAATCATTCCCCTTCATCTCAGTAAAAATGTGAGACTAAGAAGGCGCAGTAAGTTGCTCTCTCTGCTGATGGAAGGCAAAAAATATTTTTAAGATGATTAATAAAGAGCAGTTTCATTTTAGAGGCACTAAAATTAACAAACCAATTCTTGCATTTTTGAGATCAGTATCCAATTTGACCTTATTGAACTCATCAGACTTACTATCAAGACAGGAGTAAATAGTTATGTCATCAGCATAGATACTGAGTTGAGAATTGATGACACCTGGAAGGTCGTTGTTGAAAATTAGGAACAGAGTAGGTTCAAAAATAGAGCTCTGAGGGATGCTTTATTCTGCTGGACATAAAATGGCAGATTGGTCAGTTTTCTATAGTTATTAAATAATAAAATGTTCCCCGTTGAATTATTACACATTAATAATTAGAAAAAATATATTTAAAGACTCACATATGAAAGCTTTTTCATAATATAATGAACTGGCATCTCAGCTTCAGTCACTTTCCCACTGCTGTAACATAGCTTCCCTGTACATTTTCTATAAATACTTTCATAATAATTGTACTAATGAACTTTCCTCTATGGTACCTTGACTTTATGGATTTCAGCACAGTACTAGATTGGCATCCAGGTCTCATGATTTTACAGTTGAAATGGCTAGATGTAACTGTAAATTCTATGCTAATAGTTTCTTCTATCGCACTTCTCGCTTGTGGAACTTCTGACTTCTTGCTTACTAGTCAGCTTTGATCTTCAAAAATCTAAATGCAATGTCATTCATTATCTTTTATCTTAATTCCTGTTCTTTTATTGTTCTCTCTCCTTAATAGTGTTTTTTTTTTCTTATTTTCTCTAACACTCAGTAACCCCCTTGCATCTTAGTGGCTTTATTGCCTTGCTTGGAGTGGAATGAAAAAAAAAATAATAATATGACTTAGCAAAGTATGTTATAATTTTTTTATGGCATGGTTAAACTCATAATAAATGCATATGTGACTCAATGCAACTTGGTCATTATTCAAATACAGATTCAGTGGATTCTAAATGATTTTATCAGTCTGAAGGGTCTGGTGTTTTTATGACTAGCAGTAAAGTCTACAAAGAGTAAGATCTTCAAAGTGGCCATAAAATAATTAACTTTTCAGAATCAAGTACCGTTTGGCCAGAAAGAGATGTTTGCAGGCTTGAATAAACAAGAGTTACAGTTAAAATAGGCAGAAAGTTCTGGACCACTCATTAAAGTAGCTTTGAGCTGCACTTGGGCAAGTTGCGAGTCATGTGTTATAAAGTAGAGAGCGACAACAGAGGGGTGGTAGGAGAGGGTCAAGAGTTCTTACTCACCAAAAGGGAGAGCTAATCCATTGTCTCAAGTGTTGTCACCTACCTGCCCTTCAGACTGTGTTAAGTGAATCCCTGTTAAAAAGTCATCATCATCATCAGAGTACCATAACTTGATGTGGTCATAGGGCTGCTATGCAGTTGAGCATCTATCCATTTCCTGCAAATATCTGCGTTGAAAGCTGAAGTGATATTCAGTGATGCCTAATTTATCTTGAGCAAGTAGACCTGGTGGAATCCATCCTTCTCCAGGATCAAACTACAGGTGATGTCCTCCAGCTTTAAATCTTACCTTGGTCATGGACATGTGGCTGTTGATTCCATCAGGGGAACCTTCCACTTTGACCATTGACTTCTGTCAGGGCAGACTTGGGGCCCAGTCTACCGCATTGTGCTAAACAGCTGTTGACTCTACAAGAAGGTTCATAAAACCTTTGATTGGTCTTGTTTTTAATTCTGCTAGGTGTCTAGCCACCCATCTCACCAGAAAATCCAGGTGGTGAAACCAGTTCAATCAACAATGATCCAACCAGTACCAGTTGCAACCATAGAGTGATCTGACAACAAAAGTGAACTGAAAGAAAACTAGTGACAAATTACTAACATGAACAATCAGCAAAAATAAGATGAAAGAAAAATTCAGTAAAAAAAATTAATGTCTAAACAAATCAGGTAGCAGAGACTATTATATTTTTGGTATGACTTATATTATTATCAATTTAAGTTTTTAAAATAATTTCATTTAATGTAAAAAAAATTAATAATTAATTAATAGTCTTCTACTATTGAAAAAGAACTATAACAAAAATCTATGGGATGTTAGGGCAGGTAGATTTTGGAAGTGTAGTATTGCACTTAATTTGAAAGTAGGGGGGTTTGATATAATAAATAATGACACAATATTTTTTCCATAATCTTTACCATTTTTTGAGATGAGTTTAAAGATTAAGGTTAGGTTCAAAATCGTAATGCTTGAATTTAATTCCAATGATCAGTAAAAGCCTTATAAGCACAGCCTTTTAAAATTTACAATTTACTAAAGCTTTAAAAATTATATATGGCCAATTTGCATGTCACAAGGACATTATTAGTAAATCATTGTGCTATCAAATAAGACCTTAATTTACTTCAAAGGGAAATTATACTGAACTAGCTATATGTAATATGTTATACAGTGCAGTAGTTTTAGTGTGATTTTCAATAAACAATGAAAATTTTAAATATTTTGACTTATAATGTGTGTCCAACAGTATTATGGTGTTATATCTATTTTTTGTTTTTATTGATTATGATCTAAAAAATCATTCATTGAGTAGTTTTTTTTGGTAATTTTTAACTTTTTTTTTTTTTTTTTTTTACAGTTTTTATTTATCGAATACAGTAAAAAAAAAGTTGCATATTTTGCTTGTGGTAATTCATAATTAGAGTTCTGGTTTGAATATATTTTCTATTCAATGTATATAATACAAAAGATATCAACTTTATTTAGATTTATTCTTGAAATAGTAAGATTTTGAAGTCAGTTTGTAAACAAAAACCCATGAAAATTAGGTA